TAGTAAGAATTTTGTACTTTCACAAAATAAGTGAGCAAATTGTCAAAAATTGTTTGAAATTTAGATATAACCATTCAAAAAGTGAAAAAATTATCATACATACATAAAGGAATGACAAGATGGCGGCACTGACTGCCTCATCTTCAATTGGTAAATGTTCCACACAAAGTTACTCCAAATGCTGTAATATTTAGCAGGAACACAGGTAGATGGATGAAGAACAGCTACTGAAGTGCGCAAATTGATGATTCTTATTGTAAAGAAAGATATAGCCTAGTAAATGGAAATGTCCATTCCTGCCCTGTATAAAGTCAATCAGTGGTATACGGAGATAATTGCTCAGTATACTACTCCGTGTCCACTCATTTCTGGACATGAAGCGGGCCGTGAGAGGGAGAAGATGTATAATTTGTCACAGCTGTTCCTCTAGCTTTTTGTCACTTAAGAAGAAGGTAGTAGAAGAGAAGAGTCAAGAGTTACTGTATCAATTCACCCGTTTCTGGGTGAAGTAGAGCAAAAAATTGGTTCACCCATTTTTGGGTGAACCAGAACGAGCGGAGTATGGTCAATTTGCCCATAGATACTACATACACACATGGATATGAAACAGGAAGTCGGTATCCAATTAACTCTTTGAAGTTCACCTGTAAACGTCATAATCAGCGTAGCTCTATCCTTGGCGCTTTTCTCTCTGTCTATGTTTTCAAGAGTTTTCTTGAGTAACTTATTTTTGTGAAAGAAGGTATATAGGTGTTTTGTTTTGTTCAGTAGACCTAATGAATATACCGTAATTTGCCTTTTTTTCGTTGTGGAAATATTTTCGTATGGTCCTAAAATGACGAAAATATTTCAATCGAAAATTTTTGAGCAACCAAAATTTGTGACCTAATTCATCAAAGAAAGACTAAGGTAAGGCTTGATAAGCAGGTATCTTCTTGCAGCTCTAACCTTGCTCTATCCACTGGTGCTTGCTGTACTTCAATCAGTTGCTTCACTACTGAGTTATAAAATAAAACGGTCCACCATGTGACAAAAGTAGCCATTTAATGTTTCCGTTTATTATCCGTAAATTGGTCATTGCTGCATCTCCAGTACTATCCGTATACTAGTATTGTCGGGGAACAGCCAGGTCAAGAATCTCTTATCTCAAGAATTATAAACACTGCTATAGCTGCCTTGTTACCAGTAGGTAAAGGACAAGGTATATGCAAGAGAAGCTAAATTTTCAGACTGTAAAAATTTTCGTACACTATGAGAAGACGAAAATATTTCCACTTGAATTTTTCTGAAACGAAAAATTTTTGTACGAAAAAAAGGCAAATTACGGTATTCTCATTTCATTTAGTCAACAGGCCTCATGTTTACATGACAAAATTAGAAAACCTCCATTTTTATTTGTAACCACCTTTTCTAGACTCTCGAACAGAGTTAGCTAGTAAGTCTTGGAATCATAATAGTGTATTGTTTGTTACATAGACTGAAACTATTCTCGTGTCAATGTAATGAGAAATGACTGAGATAAGGCCACTCCAATTTGATTCCTTGTTTCCCATTACCCGCCCGCATGGGGCCGCATCGCTATTCATTATTGCGGTTTTTCATTGATTATACAAGCAATTTATACAGCTGATAATGAATAAATTTAATGAAAATGAACAAACCCGCCCGCCCGCATCAGGCCCGCCTCTGTAATGGGAAACTATGAATCTTATTGGAGTGGCCTAATAGCCAAAAACTGGTTTTTTGATA